TTCCCGCACTCCAGTCTCTTTGGAGCCGTGGAAATCACAACAGCCCAACAAGACTCAAGAGCTCACACCTGTGCCCATGCATGAGCTAATCATTTCCCCACAAACACCCCTCTCTCAACAATGGCCACATCATGGAAACAGAAACTCAACAGAGACACAGTGAAACTAACAGAAGTTATGAACCAAATGATTTAACGGATATCTATAGAACATTTCATCCTAAAACAAAGGAATGTACCCTTTTCTCAGAACTTCATGGTACCTTCTCCAAAACTGACCATATAATTGGTCACAAAACAGGCCTCAACAGATAACAAGAAAATTGAAATAATCCCTTGTAAGCTATCAGATCACCACAGACTAAGGCTGGTCTTCAATAACAGCAAAAACAACAGAAAGCCCACATACACAGGGAAGCTGAACAACTCTCTACTCAATGATAATTTTGTCAGGGAAGAAATGAAGAAATTAAAGACTTTTAGAATTTAAAGAAAATGAAGGCACAAACATACCCAAACTTATAGGACACAATGAAAGCAGTGCTAAGATGAAAACTGATAGCTCGGAGTGCCTCCATAAAGGAACCGAAGAGCACACACTAGCAGCTTAACAGCACACCTGAAACCTCTAGAACAAAAAGAAACTAATACACCCATGAGGAGTAGATGGCAGGAAATAGTCAAACTCGGCTGAAATCATCCCAGTAGAAACAAAGAGAACTATACAAAGAATCAACAAAACTAGGTGCTGGTTCTTCGAGAAAATCAACAAGATAGATAAACCCTTAGCCAGATTAACCAGAGGACACAGAGACAGTATCCAAATTAACAAAATCAGAAATGAAAAGAGAGATATAACAACAGAAACAAAGGAAATTAAAAAAATCATCAGATCCTACTACAAAAGCCTATACTCAACAAAAGTGGAAAATCTGGATGAAATGGACAATTTTCTAGACAGATACCAGGTACCAAAGTTAAGTCAGGAGCAGATAGACCATCTAAACAGTACCACACCCCCTAAAGAAACAGCAGCAGTCACTAAAAGTCTCCCACCAAAAAAAGCCCAGGACCAGATGGGTTTAGTGCAGAATTCTATCAGACCTTCAAGGAAGACCTAAATACCAATTCTCTTCAAACTATTCCACAAAATAGAAACAGAAGGAACACTACCTAATTCGTTCAATGAAGCCACAATCACACTCATACCTAAACTTTACAAAGACGAAACAAAGAAAAAGAACTTCAGACTAGTTCCCCTTATAAATATCAATGCAAATATACTCAATAAAATTCTCCCAAACTGAATCCAAGAACACATCAAAACCATCATTCACTATGATCAAGTAGGCTTCATCCCAGGGATGCAGGGACGGTTCAATATTTGGAAACTCATCAATGTAATCCACTATATAAACAAACTCAAAGAAAAAACCCGACATGATCATCTCATTAGATGTGAGGAAAGCAGTTGACAAAATTCAACATCTCCTCATAATAAAAGTATTAGAAAGATCTGGAATTCAAGGTCCATACCTAAACACAGTGAAAGCAATATACAGGAAACCAGTAGCCAACATTAAAGTAAATGGAGAGAAACTTGAAGCAAACCCACTAAAATCAGGGACTAGACAAGGCTGACCACTCTCTCCCTATCCATTCAATATAGTACTTGAAGTCGTAGCCAGAGCAAATAGACAAAAAAAAAAAAAAAAAAAGAGGTCAAAGCGATACAAATTGGAAAGGAAGAGTCAAGATATCACTAGTTGCAGATGATATGATAGTATACTTAAGTGACCTCAAAAATTCCACCAGAGAACTCCTTCAGCTGATAACCAGTTTCAGCAAAGTGGCTGGATACAAAATTCACTCAAACAAATCAGTAGCCTTCCTTTATACAAATAATAAACAGGCTGAGAAAGAAATTAGGGAAACAACACCCTCCACAATAGTCACATATAATATAAAATATCTTGGTTTGACTCTAATCAAGCAAGGGAAAGATCTGTACAATAACTTTAAGTCTCTGAAGAAAGAAATTGAAGAAGAGCTCAGAAGATGGAAAGCCCTTTCATGCTCATGGATTGGCAGGATTAACATAGTAAAAAATGTCCATCTTGCCAAAAGCAATCTACAGATTCAATCCAATCCCCATCAAAATTCCAACTCAATTCTTCACAGAGATATAAAAAGCAATTCTCAATTTCATTTGGAACAACAAAAAATCCAGGATAGCGAAAACTATTCTCAACAATAAGAGAACTTCTGGGGAAATTACCATCCCTGACCTCAAGCTGTACTACAGAGCAATAGTGATAAAAACTGCACGGTATTGGTAGAGACAGGCAGGAAGATCAGTGGAATTGAAGACCCAGAAATGAACTCACACACCTATGGTCACTTGATCTTTGACAAAGGAGCTAAAACCATCCAGCGGAAAAAAGTATAGCATATTCAATAAATGGTGCTGGCTCAAGTGGCGGTCAGCATGTAGAAGAATGAAAATTGACCCATTCTTATCTCCTTGTACAAAGCTCAAGACCAAGTGGATCAAAGACTTCCACGTAAAACCAGATACACTGAATCTATTAGAAGAGAAACTGGGAAAGCACCTAGAACACATTGGCATAGGGGAAAACTTCCTGAACAGAAAACCAATGGCCCAGGCTATAAGATCCACTACAGGCAAATGGGATCTCATAGAATTGCAAAGCTTCTGTAAGGCAAAGGATACTGTCAACAGGACAAAATGGCAACCAATAGATTGGGAAAAAACATCTTTACCAGTCCTATATCCAATAGAGGGCTAATATCAAATATATATACAAAGAACTCAAGAAATTAGACTCCACAGAACCAAACAACCCTATTAAAAATTAAGTACAGAGCTAAACAAAGAATTCTCAACTGAGGAATACTGAATGGCCGAGAAGCACCTAAAGAAACATTCAACATCCTTAGTCACCTGGGAAATGCAAATCAAAACAACCCTGAGATTCTACCTCACACTAGTCAGAATGGCTAAGATCAAAAACTCAGGTAATAGCAGATGCTGGCGAGGATGTGGAGAAAAAGGAACACCCCTCCATTGTTGGTGGGATTGCAAGCTGATACAGGCACTCTGGAAATCAGTCTGGTGGTTCCTCTGAAAATTGGAGATAGTATTACCTGAGGACCCAGCTTTACCACTCCTGGGCATATACCCAGAAGATGCTCCAACATATAACGAGGACACATGCTCCACTACTATGTTCATAGCAGCCTTATTTATAATATCCAGATGCTGGAAACAACCCAAATGTCCCTCAACAGAGATATGGGCACAGAAAATGTGGTACATTTACATAGTGGAGTACTACTCAGCTATTAAAGACAATGAATTAGAGAAATTCTTAGGTAAATGGATGAACTAGAAAATATCCTGAATGAGGTAACCCAATCACAAAAGAACACAAATGGTATGTACTCACTGATAAATGAATATTTAGGAAAAAAGCTTGGAATGCCCATGATACAACTCATACACAATATGAAACTCAAAAAGAAGAAAGACCAAAGGGTGGATGCTTCAGTCCTACACAGAAGAATAAAATAATCATGGGAGGTACAAGGTGGGTGGGTAGGGCTTGGGAGGAAGAGAGTAGGGGGAGGGGAAGAAGAGGGGCAGGATCAGGTATGGGAGACCAGGAGATGTACAGAGGGTCAGGAAATTGAACACAGGTGCATAGCAATGGGGGATGGGGAAGATGGGGTAGCCACCAGAAAGTCCCAGATACCAGGAAAGCAAGAGGCTCCCAGGATCTAACAGAGATGACATTAGCTGAAATACCCAACAAAGGGGAGAGAGAATCTGTAGACACCATATTCAGAGGTTAGGCACAGCCCCTGGTTAAGGGATGAGGCCACCTACACATCTCAAAAATTTTAACCCAGAATTCCTCCTGTCTAAAGGAAATTCAGGGACAAAGAGTGGAGCAGAGACTGAAGGAAAGGCCATCCAGAGACTGCCCCACCTGGGGATCCATCCCACATGCAGCCACCAAACCCAGTCACTATTGCTGATACCAAGAAGTGCTTGCTGACAGCAGCCTAACATAGCTTTCTCCTAAGAGGGTCTGCCAGATCCTCACCAAAACAGATAAGGATGAAAGTGTTTGCAACCCCATAGGAAGAACAACAATATCAACCAACTAGATTCCCATCCCCACCCCTCGCCCCCCAGCTCCTAGGGATTAAATCCCCAACCAAAGAACACACATGGAGGGGCCCATGGCTCCAGCTATATATGTAGCAGAGGATGGCCTTATCTAACATCTGTGCCCTTCCCCCGGCCTTGAGTAGACCTGAGAGACCTTGTTTACCACAACAGACGAAACAATAGGACCTAGGTGGAACCAGCCACCTCGGCTGCATGTCAATAGACACCTAGGTGGAGTCACCCACCTTGGCTGCACCTACAGCCTGATACAGGAACTTGAAAGAAGAACTGCCCCTGGGCTTGCCTTGAGACATCTCCAGCCTTGACTTGTGATCAAGAACGGATTATCCTACCCAACTCTCCCTGCTGAAACTAGGAAGGGTCCGGGCAGGGTCTTTCCCTTTAAATTGAAAGCTGAACATTAAAGCATTGAGCCTTGATCAGAGAACTTGGTCTTGGCTTCATGCCTTCTCACCCTCCGTCCTTCTTTCGTTCCCAGCCCTCTTTTCAGGTGAACCCCTTCGACTCGTGGCTGCTGGCCAGCTACAAACACCAATGTGAATGGCCCTTGGTCCTGTGAAGGCCTGATGCCCCAGTGTAGGGGAATGCTAGGTTGGTGATGCAGGAGTGAGTGGGTGGGGGGATGGGACAGGCAGTTTGTGGAGAAGAAACCAGGAAGGGAAATAACATTTGAAATGTAAATGTAAATAAATAAAATAACTGATTTTAAAAAATAAAATAAAAAGTCTAAAAAAAAGAAAAAGAAAGCGTACAAAGACTGCAAATAAAAAGCATGTCTTTACCAATGTTCCATGGAAGTTTCCTGGCTTCTTATACCACGCTTTCTTGCTCTCCTCTTCACAGATACACATGTGATCCATGAGTCCATTACTGTATAAAAAACACTTTCCTAAGAAAGCAGAGTACAATTACAGTAGTTATATTATCTTTACAGATAAAATGCACGTACAGTGGACTAGCAAAAAGAGAACTTCCTGGCTGGAACATAGGTAATCAGCTCAATTTGCTCAAGGTAAGTCAGAACTAGCTTCTAAACTCACACTGAAGTGACAACATGAATTACTGGGTTTTATATTTTTGAACTATGGCTTTAAAAACATGTGCATAGAAGTATTTTTTAGGTTACCTACAGGATGGGAGATGGAAAAAGGAGAAACATGTTTACAAATCAACTCTTGCACACATGGGCAATTCATGTCAAAATGAGCAGAACAAATGTTCTTACAGTAAGTAGTGCAATGCTTGTCTTTTCTCTATGTGCACTGCTCTGTCTGGACAGCTGCTAGCTTACCTAATTTCCCACAACTTGTCCTAATGGTTTCAGACTTGCCAACCAGATTGTCCTGTGTAAGCTACAGAAATTCTGAGTGTCATAGTGTCATCTGCTCTGCTTCCACAACTTTCTTTAATGCACAAAACTAACCTTTTAGTCTTTTTATATTTATCTGTATCTGAAACATGACTTTTCATTTGACCTTATTTCTATGTACTTAACAGAAAAGATTTACTTACTATCTTATTATTCTTTATCCCCTCCACTGTACTGACACTGAGAATAGAACTCATGGCTTCATATATGCAAGGAAAGCAATGTACCCTCTGAGCTACAGTCTCAGAACAGGGAGGACTGAAATAAGGCAGTTTACTACAGCTCAGCCAACTCTTCCTACTTGTGTTTGATACACTACCTTTATACAGTTGGCTGACTACAGTGTTGGATTCTTGTTCATCTGATACAATATAGAATCATTTTTATCAAATTCCACAGTCATAATGAATAATCTTGCATTATAAATTAACAGAGGAGCAGGTAGGCTAACTGCAGATCTACAAATCTCCCTCTGTTCCTACAAATCTAATCCATCAGTGTCATCCCCAGCTCTGCAGCAGACCCCCTGCTGTGGCCTACCTTCATCCCTAAACCCCATTCCAATGATCACACAGCTCTTCCCCTCCAAAATTCCCTCCCCTACTTACTGCTTTATCTCAGCCTCCAGCTCCAGCAGACATTCCCTGGGAACCCACAGGGCATGCAGCCCAGGGAAGCAGGTAGGCTAACTGCAGCTCTTCACTTCTCCTCTCCTTCACACCCAACCCCCCAGTATCTCACCCATCTAGGCAGCAGACCACCTGCTGAGGCCTCGCCCAACTCCCCAGCCCCGCATGCAGCTGATAAAGCCAATCTTCTCCAACCCTACTCCCACTCAGCCCATGCCCAACTCTAGAAGGCTTTCTCTCCAACACTAAACATACAAAACGAAGAAAGAAATCCATAAGGGAAAAAGACCAAGTAACATAAAGGCAGACCTACTGGAATAACACATATCTTCTCAATGGAAACTCTAAAAATTTAGAAGGGCCTACACAGATGTTTTACAGGCTCTCAGAGACCACAGATGTCAGCCCAACTACTATACCCAGCAAAACGGTAAATCACAAATTTTTATTTAAAAAAACAGAACAAAAACTATTTTTTTCCTACCTAAACCTCAATAGATACAATTAAATGGTGAAAAATGTTTCTAGCTAAGGCATCAATTCTAATAAATTAACAAAAATATCATCGAAACAAAAATGAGTACAGTAACATTTTTAAAACTCTAAGAAAAAAAAAACAAGTTTAAAAAGTTTAATATACACACCTTTGGGGAATGGGTTGTTCTGGGCTTGGAGTCGAATTTTAACAACATCCAGAGGTGTCACTATGGATATATAAATGTTAATTAAGATATGATATCTCTAAATCTCTATTAGAAAACTAGACATTAAGTCCTACTTTTCCTCATTTTTATGCAAAGGGTAAGCTGTTTATTTAAAAATGTATGTTCTACCCCTGAGCTGCTTCTAACGTGGCCCTTAGCATTTCTGTCCACAGGACGAACTACAAACCACTTCTCACAAGGACTAGGCATTTCAATCTACAACTACAATTCCATTAGTGTTAGAACTGAAGCATTACAATTTTAGAAAATATGTTCTTTAAAGCGATCTATGAAAGCTCTAAAAGTCTAAAGACTGAGTCTCCCCAATCTGATCAATTTATCTCTATCAGCATTAGGCTATGCCAGTCACTTGGGAACAGGAAGAAAATTTGCATCTTACTTTCATTTGCATGCTCTAGTTCATGAAAATAAAAAAACCAAAAAAAAAAAACCCAAAAAACATTAAATTGTGGTGTCAAGAAACTGTTCCTCATCAGAGAACAAGAAAGTCACATTAGATAATTTTTAAGGCCATTATGAACTTGAATTCTAACTTAAAGATACAACATAAAAAATGGTTTATATGTTCTAATCACTTATTATCTTAACTAAACAAACTAGACAACCTAAAATCAGTCAATGTTAAGCTATCACTTATACCATTTGACTACGGCTATATGGAAAACAAAAGGCTAAATCCACAAAACCTTGAGAAACTCTTAAGTTACCCCAAAGTATGTTATTCTATGTGCAAATATTTTATTCTTTTTCTAGTTTAAAAGACTTAAAAGAATTGTAAAAGTTTAATAATGTTGATAGGGAATCCAGGAATTCTTATTTTAAAAAATATTCTCCCTCCTTTTTTTGTTTTTTAAGAGTCCCTCTATTAATGTAGCCCTGGTTGTCCTGAAACACCTATGTACACCAGGCTCTCTTACAAAGATCCACATGTCTTTGCTTCCCAAGTCCTGGAATTAAAGGTGTGTAGTGTAAATACCACACTCTGCTGAAACCCCTTATTTTCAGTGAAAGATAGGCCCCAGGAGAATGGGTACTGTGGCAGCGACCTGTGAGTGAACAAGCAGGACTGAGACCTGACACTCTTCCTTTCCTCTTCACACTGTCGTGCTAAAGCACCGGAAGCCTGCTATTCTACCTGATCATTAGTTTGGTGGCTCAAGAGATAGCTCAGTAAAGTGCTTGTCACACAAGTGTGCAGACTAGAGTGTGACTCCCCAGCATCCATGGTTAAACATTGGGCCCAGTGGCACTGGACTGTGATCCCAGCACAGAAAGGCAAAGACAAAGAGGATACCTGGAGTTTGCTAGCCAATTATGCAGCTCTGCCTTCAAGGAGAGACCTTGTCTGAAGACACCCAGCATTGAACTCTGGTCTCCACACACTTGCATACACATATTCAAGCATGTGTATGTACACACATAAATACACAGGCACACACACAAATAAGGGACAGTGCAACAGAAGATGTTGACATTGACTTCTGGCTGCCACGTGCACAAACAACAAACATGCACAAGTGCATGCATGCCACACTGTACCCCTCAAAAATAGTATCACTACTTCATGGATAATATAATATACGCTAATGGAATACTCAAAGTTACATAATCTGCACTGGTAACATAATTTTACCCATTAGTGATGTCAACACAGCTCCAGTACAAGAGGCAACCATTTGCTGAAGAGCTGTCACTTGGGTTGCTGGTGGCGGCCCTTCAGTTTCAGGCTCCATATTTTTAACTAGTTGAAAAAAAATCCATTAAAGCAAAAGTTAAAATAGTATATGTGCACATATATGTACTACATCTATGTACATATGTAATAAAGTTGAATGGCAGGCAGATGCCTTCAAAATTACCTGTTAAGTTATAAAAACAATTATCAGGAGTGCTTGTCTAACATGCCCAAGACTTGGGTTTGATCTTCAGCACTATAAAAATAAACAAAATAGAACAGAATAGAATTATATCAAAACACATGTTATTATCACTGCCAAAAGTAAGTTATAAACGGAAGCTAGTGTGTGACTGGCACTAATAGCTATATCCTCTGATAAGAATGTGTTTGGTTACGCTGTATGAGCAGTAGTTTGCAGGACAGGTAACCAACAGGTATAGAAACATCCTTTGACTGAGAGCCAGAACAAAAACAGCTAAGTGATGTAAATTTACAAAATCTATGTGTTTACAGATAGACATTACTTAGATACCTTCCCTACTCTGGAATAGACTACCATTCAATATAGCACAATTTTTATTGCATACCAATAGTTGTTACATAGTTATAAAGTAAAAACACACAGCTTTAATCAGCATCTTTACAAAAATTTAATGAGACTTTTGGGAAGTCATATATACATATACAAACAAATAGATATTGATATATGTGCAGATGCTCTGTTTTGAAAAAGCAGTAAATATTGTTTACTTAGTACTCTGCTATAAATACAAACACTATGATAAATGTCTATGTCATTTTTAGTGCTTGCAGAGTAGTATATAATTATGCTTAAACAGTCTCTTAGGTTTTCAAATTCTCAACGGGAAACCATTTTGATATAATATTCAATTCATGTATCTTTTTGTAGTCTTCCTACACTTACCTCAGCAAGGAAATCAAGATAGGTTATAATAGTAAAAAAACAGAGCAGGGTGTGATGACACATTCCTCTTAACATTTGGGAAGCAGAGACAGGAGAATCTCTGTGAGTTCAGGGCCAGTCTGGTCTATATATTGACTTCCAGGACAGCCAAAAAACCTAGGGAGACTCAGTCTCTAAGAAATCAAAACCAACCAACCAAGCAAACAAACAAAACCCCCTTACTCAAAGCCTGATGTGGTGGTGAGCACCTGTAACCACAGGCCTCAGGAGCTGATATAGAAGAATGAAGGGTTACAAACCAGTCTGAACTTTACAGCAAGACTCTGTTGTCACAAACAGATTTTGATATAAATGTCCTTTCTAGAAAGACAGACTAATGTACACTTTCACTGGCAGCATGTCATTCTAACCACTCTGGTGTTCACAAACCCTCTCTTTAACATTACATGACTTGTCCCCACCCTGTCCTCTGCTTCCTGGATGTCATGAGCTGAACCTCTCTGCTCCCTTAAATGCTTCTACCACAATGCTACATATCAACAGTTGGCAGATAAGTCTAATACAAGTAATTATCATTAGAGGCCTCAAGTGAGCAGTAGATAAACGTTGGGTCTAAGTCAGGCTTACTATGAATAGGAAAGAAAGAAAACACCTTTTGTCGAGAAAGGCTTAAGTGGAAGAAGCAAAACAGGAAAGTGATAGGTATTACAAAAGAATTCATCATCTTTAAATCCAAGAATATAAAAAGTGTATTTGGTTATGTTGACATGATGTGGAAAAAGCTGATGAGGCCTCCGTTGATAATCATAAAAATGGTGAGGCAGATAGCACAGAAATTAACTTCACTAATAGACAAGGGAATTATAGAACAAAGGGGTTAATATTTGGCTGCAGATATAACTCAGTGGTAAAGCACGAAGTACCCAGTTCAGTGTCTAGAATACATGTGCGTGAGTACACATATACACACACACACACACACACACACACACACACACACACTTAGAATTTGTCTAAGGTCATAAAATTGCTCTAAGGCTAGACCAGTTCTAACTGAATTAATTTCTCTTGACTCCTAGCCAAATAAGCGTTCACTTAGTTCCAGGGGTGTGCAAACCTTTGACACCATTACATTATGTTGTCATCTACAAATGTGCTGGGCCACATTCATAGCTGTCCTAGGATGCATTTAGCTTACGGGCCCACGATGGCTTCCAGCTTTCATCCCGGAACTTGGGAGGCAGAGGTAGGCAGATCTCTGAGTTTGAGGCCAGGCTGGTCTACATAATGGCATGAAGACCATGACAGCCAGAGCTGCATACTGAGACCATGACTCAAAAAATAAAATAAAATAAAATAAAATAAAATAAAATAAAATAAAATAAAATAAAATAAA